TTTACAAATTGTTAAAGTTATTTACTCGTCTAAAAGTATAAACCTAAGGTTGATTGTGATAGGACTTATTTCATAGTAACTTAGTAGTTTCTCACACGTTACTTCCTGTTATTAAGTCATAGTTATTCTAAGTTTAACGAGCTGAGTGTAGGGTTAACAATATGATACCAGTGATAATTAGTAAGTCTCTAAAAAATAAAATAAAAAATCCTATTACAATAACTTACTTTTATAATCAAGTTAAAATTTAGATTCAAAAAGATGTCTTTTAAAAAAAAAAACAAAAAAAAATGTTAATGATATTTTAAAATTAAAGAAAAAAATAAAATAATTCTTACATTCATTTACCTTTATAACTAAAACTAAAATCCAGATTCAGAAAGATATTTCATAAAAAAAAAGTAAAAGAAATATTAAAATATTTTAAAATTAAGAAAAGATAAAACAATCTTTTATATTAACTTACCTTTATAACTCAAATTGAAATTCAGATTCAGAAAGGCGTTTCTAAAAAAAAGAAATAAAAGGAATATTAATGATATTTCTAATGATAAAAATAATAAAAACCTTTTTTTTTAACTTATCTTTATAATCTAAGCTGAAATCTAAGTACAGGTTAGCATTTTTTTTAAAAAAAAAAAAAAAAATATTAATGACATTCTAAAAAATTGAATTTACTTCATATTTCAACTTATCTTTTTTAATCTGAAATCAGATCAGTGTCTCTTAAAAAAAGAAAGAAAAAGAAAACATTAACTTTTGAAATCTAAGCTATCTAAAATTTAAGTTTATATTTATACCTATTTCTAAAGAAAAAAAGTAAGTTTTTTTAAAAAAAAAGAAACAATATAATAAAAAAGTATAAAATGATTGAATTAGATCAGATTATTTAATTAATTCAATCATCTATATAATATTTGATTAATTTGATGTTATCTGATAAATCTATTTGGATTATTTATGTTCTGTTTATTTATAACCTGAATGATCTGTTTTTTGATTAAATCAGATAACAGATTGAATAGATTACTAGAGCATATATCTATTTTATGGTATATAATAAATCTATTCATTTGACTCATCAATTATTAATTTATTATATAACCTATAAAAGAGCTAACCTTTAAATATTATATCTAATTATTGTAACTCATAAAGATTGTACATTAACAATCAAATAAAATCAATTAGTAAGTATTTTAAGTATATAAGCAAAATTAAATAGAAAATAATATTTTAAATATTTATATATTAAGAATTGATAATTTATATTTTTAAAAAATTAATATTTTATTAGTAGAAAATTATAGAAGATATATTTATATTAGTTTGTAAAAATTCTTCTTATTATTAAAGAAAATTTTATTATGTCAGTTATTATATGAAAAAATTTATTGTGATAATACTAACAATTATAATAAATTTATGTTATAACATATATAAAAAAAATGTATATTAAAAGGTAATGATAAATTAAATATATATTTATTACTAATATATTTATATAAATTTAATTTTTAAGGTTATTTATTTAAATAAATAGAGTATATATATCAATTTATTAATATTTGAGATATATATTTTTTTAATATTAATATTAATTAAAACGTGTTAAGAATTAATTTTGAAAATTCTATTATTTTATAAGCTTAGATTAGTAAAACATTTCATAATTTATTCTAGATATTTTTATTTTTTCAGGTAGTTTATAAATTACATTATTAATTATAAAAAACTAACACAAATTTTAATAAATTTGTATAATTATCAAAATTTTTCAAGAATCTTATGATTAGAAATTGTAAATGTTTAAAAAATGATAATGTTTCAAAGAAAAATAAATTGGTTATTTAGGTTTATGATAATAATGATTTATTCAAATTTTACTTTTTAAAAGAAATTTGAATTAAAATTAATCTCTTATAAAAAGTTTAATAAGATTTGTTGGATTGGTATATTATCTCTTATCATATTTTTTTTTGTATAAAGGAAAATTTGATAAAATTTTCTTTTTTTTATAAAAAATATATTATTTTAGAAAAATCATAGCATCAAAAAAATTACAGATGAAAAGCTGAGTTCTTATTACATAATGAAAGCAATTATTATTCTATAAAAACTAATTGATTAAAAAAATTTTTTTGCTAATAAACGTTCAATTAAAAATTATATTCTATTTTATGTATTTTATTTATTATTACATTATATATTTATTTTACAATTTACTTTACAGTTTTTTAAGTGATTAATATCAATGAAATTCCAATGTATTTCAGAAAGTTAAAATGAAATTTATTTTACAGACTTTATTTTTGCTTTAAAAAACAATTACATACATATTTGCTGCCTAAATGCTCTTTTAAATTTATCAAGCTTTTGATCCTAGTGATCTAGTTAAATGTAATGGGATTATTTGAGAATTGTTCCGGTTAATTTGTTATAAAATTTATAACATGAATGGTTGAGTCGTCATATATTAATTAAATTTTAAAAATAAAATTTTTCACTTCCTTTTGAAATATTTATCATGATTTTATTATTATTGTATTATTATTAAGTTACATCCCCCATTTTAATGTTATTTAAATGGGAAAAAGTTCCGTTTATCCAGAATTTAGTATATTTCGAATGATTAAAGAACATTTTCACTTGAAGTTATCAAATTTATGAAATTATAATAATTATGGAATTCAGATAATGACGATTTAATGTAATTGGATGATATGATAATGTTCGCTTCCCTCCAAAAATAAAGCAAAAAGTTACAGCACCCAGTATTCCCACGTTGTCCCCAACCGTAGTACTGACTGGGCCATCAGTGGCTTAACTTCGGAGATCGGACGGGTTCCGGTGCTTTTCACTGTGTATGGCCGTAACTGATAATTGTGGTTAAAATTGTCATTTTCAGTTAAAATCATCGGCCCACGACGGTGTTGCTTCATGAAAAGGGCGTCACATCAAGTAAATTAATTTTTATAGGGTCGGAATTTTGTAAAACCAAAACGATTCACGTAATGAAATCTAAAAAAATCTTTTTTGAAGTGAATTACTAATATTTTAAAACAGCTAGCTTATCCATCCATAAATGGTCATATAAAAAATATCACCCTTAATAAGAAATAATCGAAAGGAGATTCTACCTTCTAAAAGATGAAATGAATGGAGAATTGTCGCAAATTACGTGCTTTTCCGATTATACGCGTTTGCATGTGAATCTTTATGCTATTCCGATTCTATTTAATGAACATTCTCAAATTCTCTGAAATAATAGTAAACACAAATGATGGAATTGTAAAATTAATTCGAGAAAATACTCGATAAAAATCTTCAATGTTCCATCGTATGATTTTTTTTCCATCGCTCTTAAAAATGTAAATGATGATTTCCAAATTCGAGAATTATTGTGTGAATGGATTACCTTCTTTATGGGAATACAAATAGGTGAATGATGCCAAGTACATCCTAAATGGCGCGATTAAAAAAGAAAGCATGAAAATATAGCCGTTTATTTTACAAATGAAAAATTTTTGGGGTGATATAATTTGGTAAAAATGGTAAGAGTAAAAATACAATATCAAGAAAGCAAGCAGGTTTAAAAAAGTTCATAGTTCATTACTTTATTTAGAATTTCGGATTAGGTGACACGGTTGTACAAACATTAAAGGGTCATGAAATTTCCTTAGAAGCTATGATTTAAATTTATCAAAATTAAACGTGACTTTTTAACCCACCTTTTTATGTCACGAAGATCGTAGGGCAGATTACATAATAATTTCAACCGCAGAAGCATAAATATGTAATCCACAATTTATTGTAAATGAGTTGTTTAAGTTATCCTTTCATATTAAACAAATTTCGAAAAAAATGTCTCATGATAACATTGATAAAATTTTATCTTACAAAAAGAAAGGTCAGCGTGCTAGAGTCGATGGCGAAGGTGTAGCGACCACAAGGTAAGTTTTTGTTAACTTTTCTAATTGTATTAAATTTTATTAATTAGGATAATTCTGTATTAATTTACTTTTAGTGATCAATGTTATATAAATGAAATTCCTATAGAATTATTTACTCACATTGTTTCTCTACTTGCTCCGAAAGAACTAGTAAGATTTATGCATTTCCGTTTTGATTTATGTTAATTCAATGTAAATTTAATTTGATTTTCTATTAAAATTATAGAGCAAAGCGGCTCAAGTATGTAAACATTGGCGATGGATCATCACTGATGATTCATGCTGGAAGAATGCATTCATTCAATTTTTCGGATGTCTCCCATTTAGGTGATTTGACCTAGAATTACTTTTTTAATTTACTCTCAAAAGTAAAATGGACTCTAATTATTTCATTTTATAGACGATTAGCAAGTGATAGTTGGAAGAATGAATATATTATTCGTACAAAATTACTAAGGTATTTTTATGCTCAATTTCATTTATCTATATTACGAAATTTTCTAAGATTCTATTTCTTTTGTTGTGATTAGAAAGTGGGAAAAGGGACGAGGATTAGCCCTAAGTTTTGATCCAAGAGTTGGTGTAATTCATAATCTTTATGTTGAGTCCGTTAATTCTTGGATGTTAGCTGGTTCTTTAGAAAAAGGCATGGTTTCAAGATCTGATCCTAAGACCGGAAAAATTAGCAAGGACATTATATTTTCGACACAGGAGCAAGTTAGTCATAGCATTTCTGCTATGTTAATAGATAGGTAATAAAATAATTAATTAAGATGAGAGTTAGAATTATGTAATTCTAAAACAAAAGATGATTTTGAATTTAACCAAATTTTTTTTTTAAAAAAAAGGCATAGGATCCTATGGGGCTATAGGTCAGGCGCAGTTGGACTTACTACCTTGAATAAACATGGTTTAAATCGATTTTTCAAACAATTTCTCGATTTCCATGCAGGACCCGTTTCAAGTCTTGCTTGGTCAAATCAACTCACGAATATTGTTGCGAGTGGTGGTGAAGATGGTTTAGTTAACCTCTGGGATGTTAATTCTGGAAGATGCATTGAAAGTCTTCATACAAGTAGAAAGATAAATTACTTACATTATTTATTTAGTAATGTATGAATGTAATTTTCTAACTTTATTTTATTTTAGATGAAACTCATGGTATTGAAAAAAAGATCACTACTTTGGCGTGGAATGTGAATAAATATATAATAGCAGGAACAGCAAATGGCGCAGTTCATATTTGGTCAATGGATTCCACAACGATATCTTCATCCGAGAATTCTCCACGTGACAAAAATATACCGCACGATAAAATTGTTGGTACAAGTAAAGTGATTTCATTGCATTATATTGAATCGTCAAATGCCTTGATCGTAGCATATGAAGGATCCTCAGAAATAAAGCAATTTGATTTGAAGACATTGAAGTGTATTTGTGTGTTCAAGGATGGGCATCTTGGTAATGTGACATGTACTGTCATTGATATTCAGGAAAATAAGAGTAATTCAAATGAAGGTGGGATCAAATCATTAAATATTCTAGCAAGTGGGGATACGATGGGTATCGTTTGTTTATGGAAAATTGATGGTGATAATGATGGAATTCAGAAACCTTGTAGGTGGGTATATCAAGTAATGTATCATTTAACAATGTGATGAACCTCAACATTTAATTTTTTCAATTTTTAGAGTTTTCGAGGGGCGACCATCACAAATTACTGCTATTCACTTTGATGCCTTTAAGATAATAACTGGAAGGTTAGATAAGATAGATAAGATATTGTTAAATATTTGTTTTCTTTTTTTTTAGTAATCCAAGTATTCTTTATTTAGTTTGGATGGATCTGTAATCGCATTTAATCCATTGACTTCGAATGAGATTTGTACATTGTATCAGAGGTATCAATCAATGTTAAAAAATGAAAAAATGAAAAAAAAATGGAGACTTTATTTATTTTATTTTGGATTCCTTGCTTACTAGACCTCGAAGAATGAATAGGAACCAACCAAGGGTGGCTGTTACTTGTATTTATTCAAAAGAATACCAAACTGTAGTGACCATTGGAAGCCAGATCAAGACTTGGGATTTTGAACCTGGCATTGTTAAAGGTAAAACAAATCTCTTTTAGAGAATGATAAGCTATACATGTATAGTTATATTTATTAAATGTTGTAGGAAATAAAGCTAAAACCTCAAGGAAAAAAAACACTTCCGTTTCAACACCTAAATATATGAGTAAGTATCATTAGAAAATGCCGCATTTAGTTTCTCAAAAAATAATAATGATAATAACGGTAACAATTATTTCTTAAGAATTACAGAATGATGTAAGAGAATCGACACAAATATTTGAGTTAGAAAAGCAAGAACGTGAAGAACATCTTGCAAAAATGCTAGAATATGCACCAATTCCTGGATTAACTAATGAAGAAATGTTAGCATATGCTTTAATGATTTCTAATGAAGAACATCAAACTGAAGATGATCTAATTGCTGAAGCTTTAAGAAGATCCTTGGAAATTCAAGAGCACGAGATGATACCTTAATATAAAGATTTATTATTTTAATAATCGTTATTATAGAAGTTATACTTAATATAATGGATTAACTTTATTTAATAAACTGATTTCTGAAGTGACACGTAAAATTTGTTATAATTCACTATAAATTATTTATAATAATGTTTTCTTATAACAAGTAATAAATTTTCATTATGTGTTCTCTTATATTAAGAGAAATGTGTAGTATTCTAAGAGAGAGAACAAATGATATTACACACTTTAAAATAAAAGTTCACCATGCTTTATTAATATATGTTTGAGAATACATGTGCAAGAAATACTTTTTCTTCTAGTGGTAGAGTCTGGGCACGATATCTGGGCTCATCAAAATTGCGCAGAAAAAATGTGATGTAGTATAGTATGTCAAATGATAGTTTATGGCACAGTACTTCGCAACGATCAAAAAAAATATTACACATTCCAAATGCATTACACGTACTCCACACATTCATACACATTCGCAAAAACATTTTAGCTAAAGGCTTCAAAAGAAAAAGTTACCATATTTCTTCTTATTACAAAAATAATCCTATTAATTAATTTTATTTTTACCTGCGCCTATATACTACAGTGCAAGAACTGACTTAACAATATACAAAACCCTATCGGGTGATTGCATCATTACAGGTGACTTATCGAAGTTGATTATTATTCATAAGAAAATTATGCCTACAATTCAGCTAAGATTAATGCTAAATTAATCACTTTTCATCACTACAATCCCAATCATCCGGGATTTTTTTCTTATACTCTTGGATCCACTCTTGACAATCATCAGGAAATAAAGTGCTTGCATTCTCCATGTCAATAATTACTCTTGGTATTATACTTTTTCTTCTTGATGCATCAGATGTTTGCTGATATTGATCTTTTCTCTGAGGATTACAAGGATAAACAACAATCATCTTCATATTACGATCAAACCAGCCCTGATCTTTGTAGATCTCATTTAACGTATCATTGGCTTTAGGAGGATTAGACTTTCCATTTTTGTTTATAAACATCCGATTTGGTTCAACAGTTCTACGGTCTGATGCAAAAGTCTTAGGACAAATATTTTTTTGTCCGGTCCTTTGGGATGCGACGAACCGCTCGTTGATCCTTATACCAATATTCCACAGTGTTACTAAATAACCAAAAGGATGTTTCGTCTGAAAAAAAGAGTGTGATTCAGTCATCATTCATATAGTTTTGGGCCCATTCTATACGTTTCTGCTTATGCAACCTTGTAAGCATCGGGGTTTGCAATGGGTCGCTTCTTATCATAGCCAAGGTTGGTTATATGCTGCAAAACTGTACTGTAGGACACGTTTACACCCTTTAGCGACAATTTGGATGCTAACTTTCTAGAAGAAACTGCTGGATTTCTTCTAATATACTGTCCAAGAGCTTTAGAGCTCTCCGAAGTGATTTTTTTGGGACGACCGGGGCGTTTTTTGTGGATGACGCTTCTGGTTTTTTTTAATTTTGCCAAGTTAAAATATATTGTGAACCTTGATATATTTGTACTACGTCTTATTTCGGCTGCATTCGTAATCCCAGAATTCCACAAATGTTGAATGGATTGAGCCTGCGCAGTCCTGTTGTCAGTCTTCATTTCGTCGCTAAATTAAAAAAATTTTTTCTGACAAAGTTGCCAATTAAAACGCCAATTGATTGTCCAGATGCTGTATTTTAAAATGTTTAAAATTTAACCCGATTTGGATTTAAATTGGCTGATCTATGTGACTTTTAATTTTATCACCGATCGTCCAAAGACTGTTGCACCAGACTGTAAATGATTCCTTTATAATAGCCTTTTTTCTTAACTTGACCTGAACGCTAAGAATATAGGATTTTCGTTCTTCATTCAATTGCATATCATCTTCTGCTCTTAGAAAGAAAAATGCAATTGAAATATCAGGTTCTGTCATATTTGGTGGGTAACATATTGGGCAAAATCCGTTAGGAGCATTCTCAGTTTTCTTCCATTCTGCCACTGCTTTAAGCCACTCAAAATAATTATCAGCAGTAGTAGATTCTACAGCTATCCGGCCCATACAATTATCGCCATATGGTAACAGCTGGGGAGGTCTTTCAAAATCTTCAGAAAGGTAATTGTAATTTCTAATTGCTTCTTTTTTTCCTGTTTTCACTTTTACAAGAAATATTCCACTTTCAGATAAAGCTGTATTGCTTTCAAAGAGTTTCTCACACAAAAAATTTATAACAACCTTCTCCCAAATAAGTCTTACTATAGACATATTAAAATTGGTCTGCAACATCAGCCAAAATCATACGTCATTTGAATTCCTTTTAAAATAGTTAAATGCAATTTGAATAACAAGAGACTTGTCAATAACGCATGTAAATTTTTGAATGTTTCTGATATGGATAAAATCCAAATTCATAATATTCATCTTATAATTACTAGTAAACATTATTGGTCTTCCTATCATAGAATATGAAACGAAAACACTTTTCATTAGTTTCAATATGACAATACAATTGATACTGGTAAGTCAATCAGAAGGATATTTTTTCAAAATTTTGAAGCCTGTGTAGATATTATATTCTCTGTTTAATAAACATTCAGCTTTGGTTGTAAGATTCTCAATGAGACTCATTAGTTGTTTTTTAAGATCAAAATCATCAGAACTAGTGAGATAATGTATCTATATTCACGATTAACAATAGCAATCCTGTTAAGAAACTAAATTATAAAAACTGATAAAAATCAAAATTAGCAAACCATCATAAGATATTACCTTTAACTAATAAATTACAGATAATACAACTTCTTGTTTCTCTTCTTTTAGGAGAATTATACTTATAAGAAGTTTCAATTCAATTAAACTTATTAAAGATTAGAACGCTATAAATAATGGTAAATTAATTAATTATTCAAAGTCACTGAGACTGGTAGGATTAATTTACTGTAGTTCCTTCTTTCCTTTGAAAATATTTTATCTCTTGCTAAAAATAATGATAGGCTAGACCCAGTTATGCAAATAATTGCTTTTGAAATTGAAGAAAATGATCTTGATAAAAACTGAATCACTATAGAGAAAAATACCTTTACCTTATCTTGATTAAGTTATGCAAAAGAGAATGTTTCTGGTAAGAAAGCAATATAAGCTTGAGCTTCGTCATAGATAACTGGAAAGAATAATAGTCTGATATTAAGGTTCTCAATATAAGATTATAACATTTAATGCTATCAAGTTCTGTCACATCTCAGAATATTAATTGTATATTTCTAAAAATAATGTAATTGAACTGAAGGAATAATTAAGATTTGAGCACTATTATAGCATTATGTTCTTCAGCTACATTAAAAAGATGTTGAAGCAATAATAGCCGTCTAACAATGTAACTGATCACTGCTTATATTGCAATTCCTTCTGTATCTTTAGATGATTTGTCTGCAATATTATATTTTGTCTAATATGCTGATTCTTTCAAGTCTAAAGAGCTAGTATCATACGAAAAAGCAATTAAGTATAGGTCAAAATTGTAATATAAAGTTTCAAAACATAAGCAAGTTTTGTCACAACCAAAGGTTTCTAATACAATAGTTTTGTCATTTCTTGAAAGAATTTATATTACATGCTTTCTAAAAGAATCATAATCAGTAAGGCCTTTATTACGCTCTTCAGAAAAGTTATGTAGAAGCAAATTAGGTTATCTATATAATATCAGAATTTTTTTTTATCAATAGATTCTTTGTATTTATTATTTTCTGATACTTTAAAAGCTGAATACAATTTATATGTATATTTTGCAATCTTTATTAAGTCATGAGAATGATTATTAAATAGTTTTTTAATTTTATTTATTGTAACATCAATTGATTTTATTGATTTTGTTAGAAATACTGTGTAATAGAAATGAATAAGTAAGTTTCAGATAAATAATGAGACAATATAATTAAAAAGCTAAACAATGTTGTGTTAATCAAATCTATTATGACTCATTTACCAGCAAAGATTTACTATATGATAATACAAATATGTTTTTGAGTGGGTTTGATGATAAAAAGCAGAAAAGAAAAGCATAAGAACAAGTAATTATTTGGTATTTTTAGTGAATATGACAAAAGACAAATTGTAAAAACATACCAGTTTCAGGTTTATTCAATATCACTCTTAAGTATGAAAGCTTAACATTATTGTTTGGGTAGATATAAGAAATTTCTTCACATCAGATTTTTTGTATCATTGTTGGTGAAATATTCAAATAAATGAACTAATTCTCCTTTATTTAATGCATTAGCTTCATTAGTAAGACTGTTGATAATATTAAGAATGTTATTAGTTGACATATTATATGATTTTTGTGTAAAAAAGTTTTACAAGTTTGATATAATATTAACTCTGCAATTTTATTAGTTGAAGTTTGTGATAAATATTTTTGAAATATCAAATAATTATTAATATTGATTAGTTTTAGAAGCCTTTTAAGTTACATGAATATTCACATTTGTCATATATATCTGACCAATCAAATTATGAAATTTCAATATTATTACATATGATTAACCAATAAATATTAGTTTAAATATTTAAATTAATAATATAAAAATGATTGTGTGACTATAAATTTAATTCCTTATGATAATTATAAATCAATTTAATTTTTGCATATATCAACATTTAAGAAAATTAATAAAGATATATATATAATATAATATATAATAATATAAATTTTACAATCCTAGAAATAATATATTTGTATATTTTAATAAATTTTTGTTACTACTATATTATGTATTACCTTTTTTATATTAATTAATTTATTTTCATTTGCATTTTTAATGTAATCATCAATGAATTTATCTTTAATCTTTTTTTTCATTATTAAATTTATTATTAATATGTTAATATTATTTTTAACCTTATTCAAAAAATAGTCTAAATAAATAAAATATTTAAATTAGTTCTTTTATAAGTAAAGACTATAGTAATTATGATTACATACTAAAATTTTGTTATTATGTGAATTGTTATTATGATATATGTAATCATATAAAATACTAGTATTTAGTTTTTAGAAGTAATGATATCTCCTAAAAAGATGTTGATTAGTTATTTTATAACATAATAAAGAAAATTTATATGTGTTAATACTATTATATGATAATTTAATAATTAAAGAATACTAGTTATATACTTAATATATTTTGTGAATATATCTAAAAGAAATATAGCATACTTCTTTAAAATTATTTTAATATATATAAATATTTTATTGAATTTATAAAATATTATCAAAAAAATATTATCTTTTTAATGTTGAAAAAATAAAATGCATTACCTTTTATAATTATTCAACTATAAAAAATTTAATAATGTAATAATACTATAAATAATTTTTATAGGATAATTACTTAGTAAAGCAAGATTATTAATAATCATATTAATTATCAAATGATTAGTTTCCATCTAATAAAAAATATCAGAGAAAAACATTAAAGACTTATTTATAATTTTTTTAATTAAACTAAAAAAAAAATCAATTTAATAATATATATATATCTCTTTATAAGCTAACCAATTATCTTTTTAATAGTTTACATTAAGAACTAAAAAAATCAAATTGCTAAAAAAATCAATTAAATACAAAATTCAATATTTTGTATATATAGTCAAATTAGTATCACTGATATCAAATTATGTAATATATATGATATGAAAAATTAAATTAATTCTTCATAATTAAAGTTTCTTATCAAGATTTTTATATATAGATAATTTTATAAATTTTTAATAAGTAAATGAGCTATATTTTTTAATAACATATTAACTAACTATTATTTAATAAAATATTTTGTTTATTGTTTGATTTAAAGTAATATATAGTGTAAAATCTAATTTTAAAAAATTTCTACTTTCAATTCTTCGCACTTTATATATTCTCAACAAAGAATTAACTTTTAGCTTTTTATATGTTTTTACTAATTAATAAGCTGTAAGTATCTACATAAGGTCAGTCAATGATATCTTATATAATTTATGATTTTTGAGTTGCTAAACCCAATTTTTTTGCTATAATAATGCCATTTTAGCCTTTTAACAAAAATATAATGCGTAATGTTAAAAATAGAAATTTTTTAAAATTTGATTTTAAGAATTATAATATAATAAATAAAATAATTAATAAAAATATTTCATTGATGTAATAGATGTCTAAAATATTTCTATTAAAATATGCTCAGTTATTAATGAAAATTTACTTAATATTTCATTTTCGATCATGCAATATTTTTGTTATCCCTAGTATCTTATAAATATTATTAAATAAAACAATTTTTTTAAAAAATAAGTTCATAAATATTTAAAGAAATATATAAAGAATTCATTTAGACACAAATGATATAATAAATAGAAAAATAGATTTATTAATAAAAAAAGTATTATGTAATAGTTTTTTGAATAAAAAGCTAATCAAATCAGTCTATAATGATAAGTTTGATGTAATTAGAAAAATACTCTTTTATTAGAAATTAATCATAAACAATTTAAAGAGCTTTTATATAATTATCTATATCTAATTACTTTTAATAAATTAATAAGCATGATATTCTGTATATGTCTCTCATATTTTTTTTTATTAACTTATTATAGTAATTATATAATGTTAATCTATTTATAAGGTTATTATTAAAGCATTCATAATCTACATAATTTTATATATGATTATAATATGATAAATCACTTATCAAAATGCTTTTCTATTAATTCATTATTAAATTAATTGCTCATATTAGCAGTATAAAATATGAATTTATTATAGTTATTACTATTTATACTATCTAAAATATACTTGTAGTATCAGGTTATCTTTGAACATAAATATTATGATAATTATTAATATTTAATATAAAGGTTTTTTTAAATATTTTATAAAGGTATTCTCTATGTAATTTTTATGTATATCTTATATATATATATATTTTTAATAATCTGTTACTTTTATGTAATTATTATACTAAGATTTACCATTATATTTAAATCTTCATTGTTTATATTTATTAAATCTAAATAATATATAAGACTAAACTTAAAAAAATAATTTTAATATTATTTAATAAAGCAAAAAAAATAATATAAAAATACCATTAATCTTATTATACAATCTATTATTTATTTATTATGTTCCTGTAACTAAGTTATTAAATAAAATTAAATAAAGTAATCCTTTAGACTCAAATTGCTTTCTTGAAATAATTTAGCAATTCATCAAACCTATATATTAGATTTTTTTTCTTTAAATATTCTTTATCATATAAAATTTTGGTTATTAACTGAATAGCTTTAGTTAAATCAATCTTCATACTTATCTCTTTCTTAATTATAACTTCTACAATTCTTTTAGTTGTAATTTTAACTCATTTAGAATCTCTTTTTAATAGATTTTTTATTAAATATATTATTATCATAGAATTCTTCAATTTAGATTAATCATATTGTTATAGTTAGTTCTTTAAGATACTTATGAGTAATAAGTAAAGCAATATTTATGGGTGGTAAGCAGAAGGTTTAATTTGATATTTAGATTTAGAAAAGTATTAGTAAATTAACAGTTTATTTAATAACTATAACAATGAAATACTGTCTCAATCGACGTTCTATATTATACAATTATATTAGAGGGATTAAACTAAATTATTATATAAAACTATGAGTCAGACACACTGCTAAGCTAAAAGAAATTGTTCTCTATTTATATAAAATGAAAAATATAAAGTTATTGAAGAATTAAAAGAAATAAATAAAATATATGAAATAAGTAAAATATAATAAATATATGAGATAAATAAAATAAAATAAATAAAAGAAATATATTGTATAAAAGAAATATGTGCTATAGATGACATAGATGATATAGAAGATATATATGATTTCTTAGGAATCGATATCATCCTTTAGATCATCATCATCTATGTCTTCTTTCATGTAATAATATCTTTAAGTCTCTACTCAAGATTACTAAATAGAGTTTACTACAGTTAAGATATTAAAATCTATCTAACTCTTAACTTTACTAAATCTAT